TTGCAGTGATAATAACAATGATAATATTTTACTACGAAATTTCGAAGTCCTTAGAGAGTTGATTTGAGACTTTCATACGTGGTAGAGCAATGGTGCAGCTATATTATGGTTGTATCACAAATGAATCAGCTCGAACAGGGACGGGCTACGTTCTCACAAATTACCAGCGTGAAATAGCGGGTGAATGCTGTTATGTTTCGTGTGGTGAGAGAAGAGAACTGGATACGCCTTTTTACTGGAAACATTGCATTCCATTTTAGTCTGCATTCTGCATTTTCTTCATCGAAGATTGATGTAAATACCTATCTGCTACAGCATACACTTACCATCAGGTAGACTGTGTGCTTGTGTCATGTCACCCTTATTCTAAAAAAAACTTTCGCAAAGTATTGCGTTCGTTTTAATACCACTGGGTACTGAAACCTTCTTAACAGTTGTCTATTGAGTTGGTTCAGCTAGTATATACAAAAACGTAATATATCCCCCCGGTATCGCTAAAGTCTACAAAGAGTCTATAAATTTTAACCTAAGATTAATGAGAGGAGGCCTAAATGTCCTGAACTGTTATATTTGGTCCTGTCTAGGAGATATAAGCGAATATATAAATTTCTGTATAACTGTAATAGTAATTGAGTCTATCTAATAGTAAGTGAGTCGGAGGTCAAATAATCCTGAGTAACTTCTAAACAATAAGATTATATATTATTATATATTCTTTGTAATCTCGAGGATGAGATAAAACCGTTTGTGTGTGATCTCTAAGCTCTGGCTCGAAACAGTACTGACTGTACGTCTACTTGACGATAGAAATAGGTGAAAAGGTAATGTCTGCTACTAAAAAATAACGTAAATTTTTCTGAGACGACGAGAAAACATCAAAACGACGTATAAATATTTCTTAATTATTTGATGCCCACCAGTTTTTATCCACGACTACGTCCGAGTAGAACTTAAGCAAAAAGATATGCAGGTCTATAATAAATTTTAGATTAGCTGGTAAAATGTATAACCAAAAAAATGTTCAGTGAGTTCAATGAAATACTATTAATAAATAAAGAGACAGTCAATTTTTTTCCGGAAAAAAACTAATTTCCAGGGTAGTAGCCGGTAAATACATGGTTTGAACAGATTTTTACTAATCTACATTGCTTGAAACTGAATGTGTTATAATAAAAACAATTTTCTCTCATATATATGTGTTTAGGTTTCTATCGTGAACCATTCATTAATTCTTATTATTTACGTGGACTATATTAAACATGGCAGCACAGCGCTTCAATGAAAATGCTTATCGCTAATATCCAGTAACACTTACAGCATTACTTTACTTCCAAAAAAATGAAGAGACATTCATCAATCACGACTTATATCCGTCGCCACATGGTCGCTCATTACTTATGCTGATTGACAATAAAAAGAAAATACGCACTGAATCATGAAGTACTTTATTTAATAAAGTTAAAAAAATTATGCAATAGCTAATCTAACCTACTTCACGTTTCCAATCATTGCTACAAAATGGTATGTTTTAATAAATGTTTCTAAATTATTATTTTTCATTTTAGTGTAACATATTAAATATTTTTTGTCTGTCCGTCTGTGTATCTATCCGTCTGATCATAGTTGACAAACAGATAGAAAGTAACGCCAGCAGATGTGATCTAGGCTATGTTTTATCCGAAAAATATAACAATCGTTTTTGGAATCGGAAAACTGATAAAATGAATTGATTTTCATGATTATCTTATATGCTATAAGATATATAAAAGTTTTAAAAAATCTCTTTTTTTTTTGTTTGCAACAGCAACTTCACTTTTTAACGTTTTTTTTTGATTTTATCAAAAATCGTTTTTATCAATTTTTAAATTCCAACACCGTTTTACATCTAAACATAACTATAAGTGTTCAGGAATAAAAAGACAAAACCTTTGCTTAATTAAAATTAATAGATCTTCAATATTATTTTTTCGAAATATTCTCAAAAACTGACTTTGTACAGGTCAACTTCACTCCGCCTCAAACCGGTAATCGAAGGACCAATAAACAATGTCCTAAAAATTATGTAAAACACAGTACTCAGTGGTGACAATAGGTACCAACCAATTTTATTCGTCCAGACAACATGTAATATAGGTAAAACATTATATCGCGATACAGAAGTAAGTAAGTAAGAATACGTCTAGCGCTGTTCCTTGTAACTTATATAACACAAACATTATTCGTAGTTATGAAAATAATTCTTCGGGTCTTAACATGCTGCCCGCTATGGATTAAGTCCATAATTTACAATTTTTATAGGTTTTTAAGAAACTTATATTATAAAAAAGGCTTCAAATTCAAAATTCTTTATTCAATACAAAATTCTTTATTGAATAATTTTGAATTTGAATTTTAAATTTTGAAAAAAAGGCTAGTAAATTAGACTCTAATTTCAAATTAACGTAAAATAAAAATGCAACAGAATATAACAATAAATGAATATGAGCATACTGAGTCTATGAATGAATTGTCACATAACAATGTAGTGATTTTACATGTAGGCTTTCTTTTAAAATAGGATTAACATAAATTTAAAATTCTTTACACTGGTTATCACTCTATTACAATCTTAATTTAATCACAATCTTTAGGTAGGAATACTAATTTAGATACTGGTCGTTTTATGATTTTGTCCTTATATTTTAAGCTTACTACGAGCATGAGACCGTCCAACCCTGTGTGTTTATAAGTAGTGATACCAAGCAACCACCTAGCTGATGGAAGATCATCTTCCTTGAACAATATACTACACATTTATAACATTGGTGGAGCTGAGCTAGGTACTCTTGGGAACATCTACGCCAGAAGTTCTGGACCATGCGTTGTGTTAAATTCCACCTACTTAGGGTACTAATATTGGAATTTTCATAATTCATATCTGGTACAAGGACAAAAGTTTCGCGAGAGAGAGTAATTTGGGTCATCAGTGTTGTTTGATACCTGACAAATGGGTCTCGAGTTGAGGCACGCCCCATTTTGGGACAGCGTGGTAGTCAGCATTTCAAAAGTAAAGGTGTTATCTCCAATTACTCGTTTTAGATAGTATTTGGCGGATTTAAAACCTGCCTCCCACAAGCCTCCAAAGTTTCCAAACTTTGGAGGGTTGTGGGAGGGTTGTGTTTGGAGAGTGGGGAGGAATAAAGTGCCAGTTAGTACAATTTGAGGCCAACCAGTCCTGTATTTCTGCCACAACAACAGACTTTTCTGCGTAAAATAATTTTGTAAGCTATTTACAACTGCCTACAAAGGTAGTGCCATTATCGCTCCATAGGTCAGGGACATGGCCTCTTCAAGCGACAAATCTATTGAATGCAGCCAAGAAGCTCTGTGCAGTCATGTCACTGACCACCTCTATATCCTTACCATAATATGCCGGTGATGTCCACTGTACTTTTAAGAAATCCAATACCAAATTAATTATTTTTATTTCCAGCATGAAAAATACATAAATACAAAACGCTTTAAATAAATAATTATAACATAATTTTTTATTATAGAAAATAGTCATAATTATAGAAAAAATCTTAAATGGTATATTGAATATTTATTTATTTCACATGTATGCATTATTTTTATAATAAAATAGGCTTATAATTTACCTAAATACCTGATGGTCAAATATTCAAATTGTTTGCTATACGAATTTTAATTCAAAATGAGAGAGACTTCAAATGTAAAACATGACTGTAAATATCTTAATAACTGTATAGTTTTGAAAGGACCGCAAAGCTTCGGTATTTTCCATTTACGTTTGATAAAAGTCCCATGAAAGCTGTTGGTTTGATTAAAACTTTCTTCATGGATTGGTTTTTCACAAATTCAATCCTTACTGAAATGGCATTCGGATATTGTGATATCCAATTTTTTTTCTGCTTGTAGCTTATAATTTTTTGAATTGAAAGCTTAGTAATCGTGTTTATTTTTCCTTGAAAGATATAACAGGGGATTTCTAAACTTTTGATGGAAATTACTTTTTGACTCTAAATTTAAATTTATTTTAATATGAGATGTATAGTATTTGTTCAAATATTATGTATCAGTATCGTCATAATTACAGCCCTTCACAAACAGTCTCACGTCTGACGTTAAGTGAGTAGCACGCGTTCAAGTGCAGCGCTAAGTCTTTTCATACGTTGCTTGTTATTGTTTACTCACGCGTAGGACCGCGCGGCCTGCTTACGCGCAGCTTTTTCAGTGGTACTTGCTAATGACGGACGAGAATGAAGAATTTAACAATAATATTATGTATAGCGAAGACGATATTGCAAATTAAAAGAAGAAGAGCGGGATAGTATTAGTAAAAATACGCTTAGGATTATTAAAAGAATCAGAGAAACGAAGGAGAGTGATGAGGAGTGGAGGATTGTGAAGGGAAAGACGAAGAAAAAACGACTGCACGAGGATGAGAATTTAAGTACAGAAAGAGATATTGAGGTATATATTGCGTGCAGTGAAAAGCTGCCCAAGCAATTTGCTTTGGTACGGTTATTCAAAGAAGATATAATTACTGATATAATTAGAGTGAAATACTTAAACCCATTTAAAATAAGATTGCAATATTAGAATGAGGAAAATGTTTAAAAATTAAGTACCTGTGCGAATTTTTTTAATAGGATGGAGAATTCAAAAGGCAATGCCTGAGGTTAACTACTCTTACGGAATTAGAAGAGACGTGGAGTTAGAAATGTCTGAAGAAGAAATTATGAAAAATATATCATGCTCAGATTCTACAGAATTAATATCCGTTAAAAGGCTTACTTAGACGAAGTTACACGAAACAAGAAGGGTGGTGTCCAAGTGAAACCATACGGCTTTGTTTTAAAGGGTCCTCTCTACCTTCATATTACGTATATATAATCGATATGAAAATAACTGTTCAGCCATACGTTTATCCCGTTTCACAATGCTCACAATGTTGGAGGTTGGGTTACATCCGCAAGTAATGTCCATTTAAGAAAACAATGTGCCCGAAATGTGGGGGAGAACACGAGAATTGTGACACTAAAACATTCAAATGTGTCAATTGTTCTGGAACTCACATGGCTTTAGCTAGGACTTGCCCTGCTTACCTTAAAGAAAGAAGGGTGCGAGAACTTATGGCTGAGTTTAATTGCACATACAGAAGAGCTTTAATAATCTATGTTGCGCCAACACCACATAGACAAATGGACCTAAAATTTACGGAACAAGATAGCATCCAGCAGATTTGTAATTATAACACACCGAAGAGGGAAGCGGCTAAAGTTCAAAATATTCCTACTTTTGCAGAATTGACGGCCAATGGCATATTTCATAACGAAGACAATATTAGCCAATGTGAAAGTAAGTATCGTCGCCCCGCCAGCGCCAAATAAAAAAGGAGAAAAGAAGTACAGAGCATGAGACGTCATTACAAAGTAATAAATTTGAACCTAGTACTAGCTATAGTGAGGCAAATAACAACAAATCTAATAAAATATCTTTTAGTGAGCTACTTATGAGGTTAGAGGAAGTAATATTTTTAATAATTTTAGTTTGCAAGAGAAAGTTTAGAAAGTGATAAAGTTATGTGTTGAGTGGTTAATTTTGGTAACTGTGGACAATATCTCGGAATAGCCAATTACTTACTTATTTAATGGATAAAAACCTTAACTGCAAAATAGTAAATCTTAATATCTTACAGTGGAATGCTCAAATTGTTAAGCCTAAACTAATGTCCTTGGGCCTTTATTAACTCTGGAAAAAATACATATCGTAGCCTTAAGCGAAACTTGGTTAAACTCTGAAACTTATATTAAAATCAAAGATTATAAAGTAAATCTTAATATCTTACAGTGGAATGCTCTAAGTGTTAAGCCTAAGCTAATGTCCTTAGAGCCTTTATTAACTCTAGAAAAAATATATATCGTAGCCTTAAGCGAAACTTGGTTAAATTCTGAAACTTATATTAAAATCAAAGATTATATAATATTTACCGTAATGACAGAGATGACTCTTATGGGGGTGTTGCTGTTTTAGCGTACACAAATCTCTTAAAACGGTTAGGGGACATTTACAACTAAGTAATAATGGTATAGAAACTATTTGTATAAAACTTTTTAACTGTCAGTATTTACAGAATATCGTTTCTATCTATTGTCCATCATCATTGCGCACTTTCCAAAGAAATTGGGATGAATTATTTATTTATCTATTATTTAGTTGTAATCGTAATCATTGGGGCTTCAGCGCTCACCACTCAAGCTGGTCGTACAAGACTGATAACAGGGGTTCACAAATATTTGACGCGCTTTAGATACTAACGTTGCTATATTAAATAATGGAGAAAACACTCGAATTAGATTCTTTAATCTATCGCTGCTTACGTCGGATATCGTTCATAAATTTAATTGGAGATTAGATTTTAGGTAGTGATCTTCTTATTATTAAAATATCAGGTTTATGTCAAAAGCGGTTAGAGTGTGATCTTAAAAGAAATTTTAAAAAAGCAAATTGGGGCGGTTATAAGAGTACTACTAATTTTTTTTATCAATTCCTAATACACACCACCGACCTTCAAAAATGTTTAAATTTAGCAGCTGACATTCATATCCCTTTTATAAAAGTAAATCAAAACCCAGAGTCTAAATTTGTACCGAAGTCTTACTGGGACGTAGAACTATCGAAGTCGGTAGCTATTCGTAGACAAGCACTGGCTAGGTTTCGACGTAACTCAACACCTCAGAACTTATCCATACTCCAAGAAAAATTAGAGACACACAGATGTTAATTTATCAGGCTAAATTACGTAATTGGCAGAGGTTTTGTGATTCGGTAAATGATAAAACAACCACTAGGGATATGTGGAATAAGATGAGATGGATGAAAGGTTTTAGGTCACATAATACCCACCATATGGACAAAGAAAAAGCTAAAATACTTCTACGCAGTCTAACACCAGTTTTTGTTTCACCGGAACAGTTTTAGTTCTAGTAACACGTTACTAGAGGAAGAGGTCTCGATTCAGGAGCTTGATGCATCTATTAAATTAAAAGATATATCTCCTGGATGCGATGGCATAGCATATTCAATGTTGAAACACCTTCCATTTAAGGGCAAATGCATTTTAATCAAGCTGTATAATGCTTTTCTTAACAACAGTTTCGTACCATCACAATGGCGAGATAATGGTATTATAGCAATCCCAAAGCCTGGAAGAGACATCAATGATGTATCGTCCTTGCGCCCAATTTCGCTTATGTCTTGTGTATGCAAAATCTTTCATTCAATTACTAAAGGGAGACTACTCTGGTCGTAGTAGGTTTCTAGAAAAAAAAAACAAAGTCTTTTCTTCTAATACGTTCGGTTTTAGGAGAAGCTGATCCTGTTTAGATAGTCTTAGTAGTTTGGTATCAATGATAGAAAAAGGGTTTTCAGAGAATCAGTCCACAATAGGATGCTTCTTAGATTTAGACAATGCGTATAATAATGTTGACATAAATGCATTACTGTACACTTTAGAGCAACTAAATGTAGGAACAAAAATTTCTCTATATCTTAGTAGTTTCCTTAATGAACGACATCTCAAAATGTATGTGGATAACGTGTTTATTAGTAAATTTACGGGGTGAGGTCTAGCCCAAGGCAATACATTATCTCCTCTTTTGTTTAATATAGCTACTCTTAATGTATGTAAAAGCGGAAAGAATGTTTATATCTCTCAATATGCGGATGATTTTGTTATATTATATAAAAATTTCGACAGTATCAGTAACGGAGTTATTGATATACAGTTAGCTCTGAATACTCTTACTAGTTTATTTTTTACGTTAGGACTAGAAATATCTTCATCGAAAAGTAAAGTATGTATATTTAAGAATGAACGCGTAAGGGAAAGCATAAATATAAAGATTAACAAATTATGCCTTAAAATCTTTGAAAGCATTAAATATTTAGGGTTATGGTTAGATCGATCTCTTCGATGGGCCAAGCACATAAATGAAATAAAAGAGAAAGCCCTTAATTTTGTAAATATTTTGAAAGTTTTAATGGGACCAGGTTGGGGAGTACACCCAGTTCAGTTACGTCGCTTATATATAGCTATTATACGTAGTAGATTAGATTATGAGCTTTTTATTTGATAATAGCCATAAAACACATTTAATAAAATTAGATATAATACAAAATCAGTATATGCGGTTAATTGGTGGGTTTGTCAAGAGCACTCCTATCCATGTAATGGAATCGGAACTGCTATTACAGCCATTATTTTTTTCGGAGAAGGTATTTAGCTGGTAAATTTTGGTTAAAGTGTAGGTCTATTGACGAAAATATTGTGACAAATTTATTATGTATTCTTGATGAACTTATATAAAGCTTTTATTGGCGACGTAGAAAAACCCCACTGCTAGTTACAATCTACAGATTATTTAAAGAAATTTGTATGTTTTCAAGTTCTCACTTAGAAATGTTTTCACTGAATTCGTGCATTAGCAAGTTGGATTTGTCCGATTCGATAATCCCTCAAATAGAATTTATAAATGCGCCTAAACATAAATACAATCCCCATTACCTACGAATTTTATGTCATAAATATTTAACTGAAAACTTTACAAATTACTATAAAGTATATACTGATGGCTCTAAGGATAAAGAAGGAACGGGGAAGGAACGGACATTGAAACCAAAGAAGTGTTAAGCTCTGCTTAGGTAAGGAAATTTCAGTTATGCATGCGGAACTCATTGCAATTGAAGAAGCCTTATCAAGCCTGTCAAGTCACTTGAGTATGATAAATTGTTGATATTAACGGATTCTCGCGTGCCCCTCAACATTTAAAGAAATGTATTTCATTGTGTCGCGGTTTTCCATTGGCTTACGACATATTAAGTTATATTGTAACATTAAAATCTAACCACAAAAGGATTGTCTTACAATGGGTACCTTCCCATATTGGCTTAGACGGAAATCACGCGATAGATGTTCTTGCTAAAGAGGCGATAAGTGATGGGGAGAATTTCGACTGTGTTCTATGAACTCTTATCTAAAATTCTAAAAAACTGTACAGAAAAGTGGTCCGAGTACTTTAATGAAAGGTTTCAGTCAAAAGGTATTTGGTACAAGACGATACAACCGCATCTTTCCCGCTTCCTTTGGTTTGAAGGATGCAATATGGGTAGGCAAGAAATTATTAGAGCAATGAGGCTTCGTTCCGGACATGTACCATTAAACAAATTTGCGTTTGTTATGAGAAAAGTAAATTAACCAAATTGTGACAAATGTGGAGTTGTGGAAGATGTTATTCATATTATGATAGTGTAACTACCAACTGCCATTATTTTTCCTTTTTTGTTTAAGATATTTATTTCATTAGATATTATTCATTCATTGTTTTATCCAATTGCCAACAATTATCTTTGGCACCCTTTAGCTTAAATTTATTTATTTAAAACTTAAACATTTAAGTTTTAAATAAATAAATAAAAATAAATGAAATACCTATACATAGTTTTATAACGTACAGAACGAATATAATAAACTGAAACTCAGCGTTCAGCACATACAAGTGTAAGTGGAGTTGCATTTTCTGAAAGTATGAAAAGAACGTTTCCTTTGGTCTCCTATAGATATGAAATTTTATGTTATAAATAGTCCCCACATTGTCTTATTGCGCTTTTTTTTGTTTTCTGTGGGTTATAATTCCATGAACTTTTATAGCAATTATTTTATATATATTTTGTATACTAAGTATATATATTTAATGCTTCGAGCCCAGGCCCTCGATCTATTGCACCAGATCCTAGTTTTCAGACCGGTACCAGCCCGTAACACTGCTTATAATCAACAGAATTGGAGCTAATCTAATCAATATGTTGTCTGGGTAAAAAGTATCGGCGTCATCGGATACTACGTTTCAGAGTGGAATGTTTTGTAAACGGGTTTCAGATATCTTATATGGTTTAGGCTTTGATACACTTTAAAACGATAAAAGCGCGTGTTAAATGTTTTTGACTGTGGAAACCTTAACCTCAGACGGTTTGACTGTCAGGATGTTAGAACGTCGATAGAATGAAGAAAATTAAAATTATTCTTAAGATAAGATGGCGACCTTGGATCGTTTAAAATTGAATAAAGTACAAGTAACAGTTTAGGGCATCGTCTTTGACATATAGGTAGTCATTTAAGCTTTGAAAGATAGCTTTGAATTAGGTCTTACTTACTTAAACAAAAATTAACCATATGGAATTATTAAGAAGGCGCTTTAACTTGTTTAGAAGATTTTCTGACAGGTCTAGGTATTATACATCTGCATAATCGATTAAATGTATAATGAGGGAATGAAGAGTGATTTCCATAATCAACTTTAGCCAATAATTGCGAGCTTCCGAAGATTGTCAC